AAGCGCAGGCTCAGGGGTGATCTGGTGGCCACCTATAAGTTTATCAGAGGTGTTCACCAGGATCTGGGGGAACATCTGTTCACCAGAGCACCGAAAGGGGTGACAAGATTGAATGGTCACAAACTCCACCACGACTGATTCAGGCTGGAAATAAGGAAGAACTTCTTTACTGTCTGAGCCCCCAAGGTTTGGGATAGACTGCTGCTGGAGGTGGTTCAAGCACCCACTTTTAATGCCTTCAAGACACATTTGGAGGTCTATCTTGCTGGGATCCTAGGATCCCTGCTGACTTCCTGCCCCTGGGGAAGGGGGCTGGACTCAATGATCCTTTGGGGTCCCTTCCAGCCCAAATGTCTATGAAAGCCACAGAAGGTTGTAGAGGCAAATAGTACAGCTAGGTTCAAAAAGGAACTAGACAAATTCATGGATGACAGATCCATTAATATCTAGAGTGATCTCTAGCCTCTGCCCCCATCATATGCTCTTACTGTAAAGTTGCCACTTTTCCTGCTGTTGGAGACAGGACACTGAACTAGGTGGACTGTTAGGATCTGATGCAGTATGACATGTCTTATGTTCTTATCTCACCATGCAAGTGAAAGGTATGTGGGGGGGGAAAGCCCCATATTTAAGATGGTGTAGGTACAATCAGTATTCAGTGACCTTCCTTTCCTGCTTCTTCCATTACATTCCTCACTCTAATCACCTCCACTTTTCTTCTCTCCCCATGACTACCTCCTTCTCTAACTCTATTTTGTGGTATTACATTGTTCAGCTTTGGCTCCATTATTCCTCCACTCCATGTCTCCACCCAGTTTATTCTATATCTCCAGCTGTGTCATCTTAAATGAGTAAATGCCCCAACATGAGTCCATTGGTCAGTCTAGTCCATATATCAAGACTTAAGCTCTCTGCAGCTAAAAGAAGAAAATTTTGCAAAAACTGATCCACAAAAGTTACATGGATATTAAAATAAAAAAGAACAGGTTTTTTGTGAAGCAGTTCGTGATCGTGAACAAATCTGGGCTACCAGGCTGCTTGGGTAATCCAATATTAGACAGCAGGACATCTACCATGACACCATTAGGTGGCAGCTTGAGAGAGCCAATTTTTAATTGAAAACTTAATTTTTCCCCTTAGGACTGCCAGCTTCAATGTGGCAGGAAGCTAAATGCTCCCCCTTCCACAGCTGTTGCACAAACCACATAGGCTGCCTTTGAAGAAGAATGCAGAAAGAGATCTTCAGTGTAACCCTGAAATGGGACAGTATTCTAACGGAACAGGAAATCCAAGTTTTCAGCTGCTTACAACCTTTTTACTGTAAGCAATTTTCCTGTTTCATGTTTAAGATGACTTAACATAAAAAAAAGGCTTAAGTGTGTATTTATCTTCACTGACCTCACAACAAATTAGTCAGACAGTTCAAGTTTACTGTGTTATCCAAACATAACCAGAGGATGGAATACTGGGAAAAGCAAGGTAATGCGTGTCAGAGCCAAAAAAGAAAAAAAAATATATGAGTTGCTCCAGAAATGAACCCTCCCAGGAAAAAAAAGATGCACTGAGGCAGACTTTTCCTGTTGTCTTGTATCACAGCACCATAAAAAAGCAGCAATTCAACTCCACATTTTAGCTGCAAGTAGGTGAAGTGAGTCACAGGTTGCTACCTACCTTCAGGTTCCCATCTGCTGTTATCCTCAGTCGATTGCAGGTTCCACAGAAGTGCTCTGACATGGAGGTGATAAAGCTAACCTGTCCCTGGAAATCTGGCACCTTGTAAGCCTGCAGAAGTCAGGGAGAGAAGAAATACTAATAAGTATTTTTTTTCAGAGGGCTTTACTAGGGAGCCAAAAACCTAGGTTAAGTTGGTCTGGAGACCCCTCATCTAAATTTGGCTTCCTCCCTCCCAGGGGTTCAGCAATGGAAGACAGAATGGAGTTGGGATCAGGATGGGATAAGAATAAGTTGTCAATCCTGTAATGTCTACTGTTTATTGCCTTATAAAAAAAGAGGTTTTAGTGATTTCAATCTATTTCTCAGTGGGTCAGTGTTCACAGTGCACAGGTGCACACACACACACGCACTCTACCTTTAATCCCATCAGCCCATGTGAGAGGCTGAGTGATCCAGTTGCTCTCCTAGTTAAACTTTTAAATCATACTGATACTGGCAGCTGGGGAAAGGGCAAGTTTTGGTAAGCTTATAAATGCCTCAACAAGCCACAGAGAACTTTATTCAAAGCTATCAGCTCTGTAGCTTTCACAAAGACTAAATTCACCTTGTTGCAAGCCTAAAAAATCTACTCCTGCTCCTAATTTTTACACGAGTCCTATGCCTTCCATCAATGCAAACAGCGTGATTGCAACAACACCACAGGGTTTCTGGAGATCCAGAGACTTCAGAATAAGCCACAAAAAATGCCATACCTACCAAAACCTGTCTGCTATGAAGTGTACACACTTCACTGCTCTCTGAAGAACCAAATTTCCACAACATGGAGAAAAAAGAAATCAATGAGTGGGCATCTACAAAATATGTCCCTGCTCCCTGTGATTCACAGGCATGCGACAAGACTGTTGACATGATGTTGGGTAAATCAGTCCTTACCTATCAAGCATCAGATGAGGAAGATTTTTTACAGTTCAGGCTGTTGCATGTCAATATCCACAGAAGTAATGAAGCAATTTACTGAATGGCATGTACAACACCTGTTCAAGTGTGAAAGTTTGATTCCTGTAATGGCAATAGTCCTGGATACGGGATTGAAGTCTAGTACTACTTACACCTGACAAAGACACAGCTGGCAAAAGTGCTGTGTTTCTAAAAGTAAAAAACCATACTTGCTGTTCACAGAGGCTGCATGCATGTACTCTGACCAATGACTTCAAGTTCATTACATAGAGGACTAGGGACCATCATGCCCTTTACCCTAGCTAGCCTGTCACAATTTCATGAGGCCTTGGATCTCCTTTCACAGTGTTGTCTGCACCCACCTTTGCTGTGCTGGAGGCCTCACAGGGCAGTTTCTCCAACTTAGGCCACCTCTGCTTGATTGTATCCAACATCTCCTTATAGCTCACCATCTTCTTAAAGTTCCACTTGTTGCCTAGGTATAGATCAGTCATTAGGAGTTTTTAAACAGAAAAAACACACTCCTTTTCCTTGGATGTCTGCTGTCCCTTTCAGTGAATAATACCCGAGGAGCTGTATCAACCTTCTAGACCACAGGTGTCAAACAAAGGCCACGCCCAAATCTGGCTTGTAGAAATGGGTCATCCATCTTGTGGGGATTCCCTGATCTGGAAGATATACCTCTGGATCTAGCCTGAGTGGCTGGACATTCAGCAGCACAGTGAGCAACAACAGCATTAACCCCTGCAGCTGCTAGAACTGTTATGAAGGTGGGGCCAACAGCCTGGGGATTAATGCTACTTGCCCTACCACTGAATTCAGTTTGGTATCCTCACTGGGGATGAAATTATTCAACAGCACTAATCCCCTGGGTGCTGGCCCCACTAACACAATGGCTCTGGCAGTGGTGGAAGTTAATGTCGCTGTCGCTTGCCCTGCCACCAATTTTTTTTAACTGAAATGTCTCTTTGGGATGGAATTCTGCAGTGCTGGGGCAAACAACCATGGTATTAATTTAAATGGTTGCCAAAGATACTATGTATGAAGGTGCCACCATTCAGGGGGTTAATATGGCCAGTGCTTGTCTCAACACTGAAGGTGGGTCATCTGGCTCATGAGAAGCCCCACGGTCCAGCCTATAGGGGGGCCAAATGAGGTTGACACCCCTGTTCTAGATCATTAAAAAAAAAAAAAAAGACAAATTTAGCAAAGCCTGCAGGTCAACTGAGCCCTGTCGGGAGCGGTACAGAATTTGGTGAAGGGAAACCAAATCAAAACTTTTTTCTTTTTTAATTCTAACTATATATCTCAAATAAGAAAACTACATACATTTGTCTCTTTAAACAAGGAAAAACCCATTTAAATTAAAACTGAAGTTATGACAGCCTGCCTGAAGCTCTAAACTTAGTATAATCTATTAAAATCATTATGTGACCAAATCAGCAGTATATGTTTGCTGCCAAAGTTTTGCAGTCAAATTGGTAAACTGGTAGAAGTTACTAGCCAAGCACTTAAAACCAGAGTTTGTTGAGTGCTGAATCAGCTTCTGATGGCCTCTTCTACAAATGCAGAGGGAATATTTTCTTCAGTTTATTCAGTTCAATAATTAGCTCATTCAAAGTTGAGAAATCAAATTGGAGTTGAAAAGGCAATTTCTTCCAAAGTATGTATAAAAATAAGGTGCGAGAGGCTGAGATAATGCTTCTATAATCAGACCAGAAACATTCAAATCACTAACTACAGCTAATGCTTCCAATGTTTAACAAGGCATTTTAAAATACACATATTTCAACTAAAAGGTTTTTTTTCTTAGGTACCTAGGGCATCCCAAGTAATTTTAGTTAACTAAGGAATTTTAAAAAGCTTGTTTTTAAACATTTTAATGGCATTCCAATTTCTACTCAAAGTTAAACAAAATCACAAGTAAAAAAAAAATCTCATAAATACAAAATGTACGTTTTACTGTTTTCTAAACAAAAATATGTAAACAGTTAAGCATCTGAGTAATCGTAATGTTAAACTACACTCAGCTCTAATGAGCATGAGTGACACCTCAGCTGACATACTCTTTCCAGTTTTGGGCACCACGCTTTAAGAAAGTCGTACACAAACTAGAGAAGAGCAATAAAAACAATAAGAGGTTTAGGAACCATGTGTTCTAAGAAAAAAAATTAGATGAAACATATCCCGTTCCTTCAGAGAAGGGAAGACTGAGGACATGAGTACTCACCGTCAAAGGGCATGTACTCTATGAACCGTACATCTAGGGGCAGATTCTTTGTGAGGTCCACAAAGTCCAGCAGCTCATCTTCATTGAAACCTCTCATCACTACGCAGTTCACCTGGAGAAAAAAACCCAGCAGCCTGAAACCACTCTGTACCAGAACCCAATGATCTCATCTTGTACAAGAGGACTCAGTGCCCTTAGGCAAGGTTAGGAACAGGGTATACAGAAACATCACAGCATCTCCTTCAAAGGAAAAGTGTTAAGAGATGGCAGGAGGTTTAAAATGATGCAAGTGATGACATGTTATCTCATCCATCATTTTGACTGGCTCCTTTGCTATGGGTGTCCTCCCCAGCTAACTGTTCTAGTTTTACTTTGGAAGATGGCTAATGTTTTTTCAGCTCTGCTTTCTATAAAACATATAGAAATATGGCAGGATGGCTCATCCAGCAATGCTTTCTTCTGGGGTGCATACAACATTTGGTAGGGTTCATATCTCATACTAGGGTAATGCTGACAGCACTCTATAGTGAAAGCAAGCTTGACTACTAGAAATGCCAGGCTCTGGAAAAGTTTAAACTGAAGCCTTTCCTGATAGCTGCACTCCCATAGAGTCTCAGGTCCTCTTGCTTGTATCACTGATGATGCATGCTGTAGTTTTTCTTAGTAAGATAGACTTGTTTGGCAACCATTGATCCTTCCAGATCATGGTGTATGCGTGAGAAGTCACCCGGACCTTCAACACGCATGCCTAGGCAGGAGTTTTGGAGGAGTGGAGGCTGCCCAGACCTTCCATCCTCACTTTAGGCTACTGAGACAGAATCCAAAGGCTAGACTGAGTCCAGACGTTTGGTGCCTCCATGGCTGTATTTGTATAAGTGTCCGGGAATTGAACCCAGGTCTCCTGTGCGGCAGACAAAGATTCTACTACTGAACCACAGCACACTCCTACATAAGACTTGTATGCTTAACAGATTGTAATGCCCATATTTTCAAGCACAGCTATACTCAACTTTAATCTTTAAATATTTATCTTGTTTCTGTAATCTACAGCTATTTATACTAGATGATGTTCCAGTAGCCAGTGAAAGGGAAATGAGTCAGAGCTGTAGCTCTGAACAGAGAACAGCTGAGTCAGTTACACAAAATGACAAAGTGGCATCACTGTAAACAGCCTTCAATAATGCAGAAAAATTCCTTAAATACCAGCAAGAAAAAAATGCTAACTCTTAATGGAAGAGAAACAAAACCAAAAACAAAACAAGAAAACCAGACCAAACCAAAGAAACCTACAGAAGTAAGGTGCGGTGGGTATCACAGAGTGAACCACCAGGGCTCCTAGATGATTACAAGCTGAACGGACTTACCTTGACTGGATTGTACCCAAGTTCAATGGCTTTGTGAATTCCTTCCATTACCTTGTGAAAGCCTGAAATGCAACCAGAATAAAGTCTTTAGACGACTGGGACAGAAAAGAACTAGTTCCAGCAGATTGATCAGTGGACTGTGAATCAAGAGACTGGTTCTGTTGTCAGCTTCTCTGCAAACAGAAATTTTCATCTTATCTTTTTATTTTATACCCCACCCTATCCAAAAGGCTCAGAGCAGCTCATGCTGTCCTTTTGAGAGGGCACTAAATAGACCCAATTTGCTTAGCATAGCCAAACAAAGGCTGAGGGGACAGGGTTGCTTTCTATAACTATACTGGAAGGGGAAAGAGCTATGTACCCTAAGTGACAATGCTGGTACAAGAACAACTTCATAAAAGCTGGCCAGAAATAAATTTAGGATGGAAGTCAGAGGAAGGTTTTTAAGACTTCAGTGCAGTGAAGTTCTGAAACACCCTTTCAATAGGGGAAAGTGGGGATTAAAAACCCAATGTTAAGATGGATCTTCCTCAGCTTATCTAAAGAAGTATATAGATAGTTTTTGAGGTAGCTGGGGACTCGACTCATGATCCAAGAGGTCCATTTCATGCCCATGTTTCTAAATTACATAAGGCCAGATTTTTAAAGGTATCCAGACACCTCACAATACAGCAGCACCTTTTTGCATCTGTACGTGACCAAACCCCTTTCAAATATGGCTTTCAACCTTTCTGTGCTTCAGTTTTGCTCATTGTTTTACCATTTTATACCAGGTGAGCATGTAGGAAATGTTTCTAGATTTGGGGAAGGAAAAGTACTCAAACATTCCTCCTCTTCCTCCTTCCATTCGCCTTTGTCTGGTACATAACAAGCATGACACACAAGGGTGTACAGAAGGGAAGTAGAAGATATAGGCCCTACAATCCTTCCTGACCAACATATATAGCATCCTTAATGCTTGACCTTGAAAGAATGTGTGACATTCTGATTAAGTGGTTTTGCAGACTAAACATGGCCAGGAAGAGACATTAACTGAAACATCTATTTTCCCTAGATCTAGGAATTTTGTAGTGAAAAAAGGGGACTGAAAAAATAAGACTCCAGGTATCATCCTGTCATATTACGCACTAACATTACTGATATGTCATGAGCTAATGTACAAATAAGAAAAATCCTCATAAAATAAAATGTCAATACTAGGCTTCAAAATGTCAATAAAAAAAATCTGAAATATAAATAGTTCAGAAATGGTTTTACAGGGATTTTCCTATGACATGAAATTTTCAAGGTTGAACATTCAAGCTGGTCGTTATCTCCCCCATGCTCCCTGATAGGTTCTTAAACCAAACAAGCGTCTGTCTCTTATGTTCCATTGTGAATGATCCCACATTAAATTCCACTTTCCAGAGATTACCTCAGTAAAAAGTGGTTTGAGCCTTGTTTTTTATGTTATTTCAGAAGGCTGTTATCTTATTTTCTTCAGGATGATGAAGAGAAAAAATATGATGAGCTATAGGCTAATTTAGACTGTCACTATCCAAGGCCAGATATTCTTCACTAGGCCATCCCATGGGATATGGAGGTAGGAATGAACTGAGAGAACATGGTTGTCTAATGCACCTTCATACATAAGGATGCATCTACATGTCCCATTAAGGCAATGTGATAAATTCTCAGGTGATGCATCTGCATGTGCACCTGGGACCACAGCACTTTGGGCTGGGGCAAAGCAGCCCTGGGCTGGCAGGTGGCAGGGCTGGCTGAGGCATGAGGATGCTGAGGTCTGGGGCATGGCAGCACGCAGCCCCTGTACTTTAGCACCCTTGTACCCCTGCCAGCCCCTATCAATGTCTACACATAATTATTCCACTATATGACTGTACTGTCCCCATCATGGAATAGGGATTATAACTTCTAATCATATACTGTTTGAGACAATATATTCATGTAATCTTTTTAGGAAAAAGTTTTATAAATAAGTCACAACAGGCCATGGACTATATTAGCGGACCAATCTTATGGGGTTTCCAGAGGCTCCTCTATAGATTAGTAAAGACTAAAGAAAACCACTCTACCCAATGGGACTCTGTGCTCAGTCTAGAAGATCCCATTGAACATCTCTGCAATGCTTAGTTTCAGTTCTCAAACTGTGGATTATGTCTCCAGATATAACATCCTTGTTAACAGCAGTATATGCAGATGAGAGAGAACAGGTCTGATTCTCTACCCACCAGCCCTATTTTCTCTCTGCAAGTTTGTGTATACAGAGTCAAGCCCTTACCTCTCTCTAAAAGTGCAAAGCTTCAAGAAGTTAAATGAATCGAGGATTGTTGGGGGCGGAGTAGATCTGGGCAAGGAAGAGTCTGGAGATAAATGCAAGGAGGGAGGGGCAGCAGAAACAAAAGAAAAAAAACATTTAGAGCAGGATATTCCAGAAGTCTTGAGGAATAAATTTCTGAGTATACCCTCTCCATTGATTTGAGATCTAGTGAGGGAATGGTATGGTAGAAGGGAAAACTTATTGCAACAGGCTTGCCAGGCTGTAAGAGAGACCCTGTTTGGAAATATTTTAATGAGGGTTATACCAAATAACAAGAATGCACTTTTTGTAGGAAACAATTAAAATCGAGGCTTCCTGACCAGTGATTTAAATCATGATTTAAATCAGATCCACCATGAAAAAAACTTGGAAATTTTACTCCTCATTTCTTCTTGATGCATTGTATTGAGAGCCATAGGAATTTCCCCATCTTGCCCTTGCACATTTAGCTCAGCAGCACTCAACAATAAAAACCTCTCTGTAGCTAGTATTTTTTTTGTTTAAATATATAAATTATCTGTGTCCCCCAACAACTTCTGTACGCTGTATGTTTCTAATGACTTTCAATCAGATATCCAGAGCTGCTGCTGTGTAATTCAGGAAGCTGCAGGATCAAGTTTGCCCTTTCAATAACAAAGAAAGGGCATATTTCCAGTAAGCGTCTAAAACTGTGCTAATCTAACTGCAGCGAGCAAGGAGGCAGAGAATGGAAGAATTCTCCAGTGTGACCCCAATTCCCTGCAAATATTTTCCTGGAACAACTCAACTGGTGCAGTTGCCTCATGGTACAGTGCTATGCCCTAAACTGAGGTTGCAATGTCTGTACATTTCATATCTTTATCTGAATAGAGTGCATTTCCTCACCATGACCCAGATACTAAATAGGTAATAATAGAAAGAGGGAGAAAAACCTCTATTCCTCACCTGTCTCAGATATGTACCTGTGCTTAGCCTGGTTAGGGAATATAGCCAAACCTTGGCTCAATAACCAAGTTCTCAGTATGTTAAAGTCACTTTTCTGCTGCACTGCAGGTTTTTAAATCTAAGACAGGATATTTTAAATTGGTAGTGCACTGCCATCTAATGGCCTGTAGGTAAACTGTTTAAAACTGAAGCTCAGATAAGTTCACAGGCACTGACATAATTATATTTTTAGATGGAAAAATTTGATACTAGATTATTAAATTTCAGAATGGAAACAAACTTGAAAATGTATTAGGATTCATTTAATAGGTATCTTTAAACACATGACCATGACATTACATAACACACTCTTGGGACATGTCTCTAAAATTTACATTTTGATTTACTATCTTGCAAGTAGCTAGACTACATGGGACAAAATTTCAATTCTTCCTCAGTGAGTTCAGGCGCAGGCTGTTTTTCCTCATAAAAAGTAATGAATGGAAAGCAATACTTGCTACACATATGACTGATACAATTCAACCATGACTTTAGGAGACTAATTACATTGGTCACAGTAAGCTTCATTCAGTCTCTGTGACAAAATAATTTATAGCTGCTTTTCTGGGACAGTTAACACTAAGTCAAACAAGGCCATTCTGATACCTATCCATTAGATTTGGACTGAGCTACTACTACCAGTCTTTTCTAAGAGAAAAGTGGAAATCAATTAGACATTTTAAGTGGTTGCATAAGACACTGTGCTGTCCATTGGGTGGGCCCTTAATGCAGACTTTACTGGAGACAATGAAGGAGCGAAAAGATTTTACTCTGAGAGAAACAAACATTCTTAGAATTTAAGAATAAAAAATGAGTATGGCAAAACAGAGGTGGTAACGAGGAAACATGTCATTAGCTAACCCAATCACCAGTGAGCACAGGTTCTCAACCTGAGCTGCAAGCAAGCTGCAGCATAGCTTGGCCACCCTCTTCTTCTTGGGACACAAATGATTAGAGGTTCTTACCAATTTTTTTCTTCCAGCACAGGGGCTTAGTGAGGAACAAGCTGACAATCACTGATCTAGATGAACTGATTTTAGGTTTTGTAGGAGGGCAGAAGGCGATTGAGGGGAGAAGCCTGTCACAACCAGTTGCTTGGTTTTTTTGGGTTTTTTTTTGAGAGTGTGAGTGATTGATTTCAGGGTATTGTTACTTTTTCTTGATAGGACGGCAGACAACATTTAGCAGGAGACCAGTCAGACTTCATGTGCAGGATTTACAGCAGGGGTGCCAAGTTGTTTCAGCCCCATTGGCCCACAAACCCCTTCTCCTTTCCCCTCCCTCAGCATGCCTGATCCAGTGGCTACTCCACCTGGTCTGGGACTGCACTGTGTGCAGCACAGTCCCAGAGCAGCAGGAATGGGCACTGTGTGGTGCAGTCTGGCCGGAGCAGCAGCTGCACTGCACATGGTGGCTGCCCTGGCTGAACTGTGCTGCACATGTGCCCACCCCAGCAGCCCCAGGCCTGTAAGTTCTTCATGCAGCAAAGGTCTTGGACTGGCTGAAGCAGCAGCTGCGTGCCAGAGCACGCACTGTGTTTGGCACAGTTTAGCTGGGGCAGTCTCTGTGTGCTGCCGCTCTGGCCAGACTGCTCTGCACACTGCATCAGTTCCAGTGCTCTGGGATCTCTGCAGTGTGCTGGATCAGGCATGCTGGAGAAGCCGGGGGGACACAGAGGAAAGGGGAGGATGTCTGTGGGCCTGAATCAGCCTGCACCATGGGTGAGCCATGCCCTCTGTGGGACTGATCAGACCCTAGGGCAGCACTGGGGGCCACAGAGCAGATCTGGTCTGTGGGCCAGATGGTTGATACCCCTGACTTACAGGATTCAAAAGATTCTCATGAATAACCAGCAGTCACTTAAGGTTTGGCAAATGCAGTTAGAAGCCTACCAAATAACAGTGACTTGAATGCAAGCTGCTATTCATAGGTAAGCAATCTTGACTCTAACCGTTCAGTATTTGTCTGGAGAAAGTGTAGATAGGATGGAAAAGAGCCAACCAAACTCAAGTCAAGGAGAGAACTTTTTATGCTAGTTTTAGAGGACAGACAGACAGACAGACACTAACCAAGTTTATATAAAGTAGAAAGAAGAATACTGGTACCTTTCCTCCGGACAATGAACTCAAATTTGGCTGGAACCAGAGTATCCAAGCTGATGTTAATGGCATCCAGACCAGCCTCCTTCAGCCGGGGCAGCAGCCTGGCCAAGTTAATCCCATTCGTTGTGACAGCAATAGTTTTTATCCCTTCTATCTTGTACAGCTGAGCTAGGAAACAAAAGAATGGCAGCACATTTAAATGGAAGGAGCTAAATCAGAACTCAGGCCAAATCCTGTAGAGAATGGAATATGCAAAATGGTGCAGAGGAGAAAATTAATTTGTCCTCTAAGCAGTTAGGACCCTGAATGCCTCCTTCTGCTGAGTCTATCTGCATACCTACTTACTGTTTCATTAATTATAGATTGACAGAGAGTGATCTCCTTCTTACCAACAGCTTTTGGAGTCTGTTGACAACAAGCATGCATACAAGCTGGTCTAGGGGAGGCTGCAGAGTGGGTGCAATTAAACCTCATTTAGCTTTGCAGTGCACATGCACTGGCCCCTCTGAGTTCATTGGCTTGTCCGAGTGGTTGCTGGCAGAACCCAGGGGGCGAATGCTGCTACTGCTCACTCCCTCAAACCCTCTGCCTGCTGCTGCTTTTTGGCAGCAGGGGAAAAGCTGAGGGTGCAGGTGGAAAAGGACATGACCAGTGACAGCGCTCCCCCCTTGGGTTTTGGAGGCACAGCAATAAGCTGTAAGCTCAGAAAGCTCACTGCACATGTGCTGCACAGCTCCCCAGGATCCTCCTTTGAGCATGCAGGTATTTATGCCTCCCTCTCTCTCTTTCAAGCTGTACTTTTTAGATTAACAGTGTGACATAAGCCAATTTGTAGCAGTATTAAAAAAGCCAAGTGTGTGTCATGCAGAAGTGATTATAGATACTTGATCCAACTGCTTAGGCTCTGGATTAACCTTGCTGTACATCTATTAGAAAAAGTTTGCACTTTAACATTGAAGGAAGTCCTATGAACACATTTAATCTGCCCTCACTTCTGGCATGAGAGAAAGAGGTCTCGTGCCTGGTTCTGAAAACTCAATTTCAACTCTAAGTCTCTTTTTAACTATTACTTTTATCATGATGCCGTTCCATTCTAGTTTGGGTCCCGTAACTACATCCAGATACTGGACTGCTTGAATTTATATAGCGCCTTTTATCTTATGAAGTCTTTACAAAAAAAAGAGTTTCAGTTACCTCTGAGGGGAAAAGTAGCAGCTATATGGCAGCTCAAGGAAAAACTTCCCAATAATTGAAGCTAGTCAGCAAGAAATGCTGAGACTCCCCAGGCGACCAGGGAGCCAGCAAACAGGACTGCAAACAGGGGAAGCAGTTTACAGGCAGTTTGCAGGCCAGTTCATGGGTAGTAGCATAGCCTATTACCACATAATTGCTCTCGGCCATGTCGGTGACTCGTCATACCCGCAGGCATCCTGCCATCACTGAGACCTTCACCCAGACAGAGCCCGAGGTCCTGAACTGCAGGGGCTGCCTGGCGTGGCTGCTGGGAACTGAGCATGGGGGCACCCCCACTTGTGGCGTGTGCTCTCTGGCGGAGCCTCTGGAGGGCTGGATGCAGGAGCTTGAGGAGGAGATGCATCAGCTGTGCACCATCAGGGCCCATGAAGACTTCATTGATGGCTACTGCCAGACCCTTCTCCAGAAGAAGGAAGAAGAGACAGAGATGGTAGCTAATGTGATGGATAACCAAGAAGATCTACCCGGAGAGACTTGGAAGACAGTCACTTCATGCTCCAGGAAACCCAGGGCCAGGGCTGCTCCTTCCCTGGCCCTGCACAACAGGTACACTCCCCTCCCCACACAGGAGGCAGCTCTGATCGCGACACCGGGAGAGGAGAAAAGCAAGTAGCTTGTTGCCACCCCCAAGAGGCGGTGCAAGGTGGTGGTGGTGGGGGACTCCCTCCTGCAGGGCACTGAGGGACCCATCTGCTATCTGGATCCCTAACCCGTGAGGTCTTTTGCCTCCCAGGGGCTTACATCTGAGACGTAACAGAGAGGATCCCCAGGCTTGTCCAGCCCTCTGACTACTATCCCATGCTCCTCATCCATGTGGGAACTAATGACACAGCCAGGAGTAATCCAGACTGGGTCATGAACAATTGCGGGGCTCTGGGGGCTGGGCTTAAGGTGTTGGGAGCTCAGGTAGTCTTTTCTTCTGCACTCCTTGTTGTCCCAGAAGGGAAGGATGCATCGAGGAAGTGAGCTGGCAACTCCAATGCTGATGCCATCGAGAAGGCTTTGGATATCTTGACGACAGTACACACTTCAGAGAAAGAGGACTCCTGGGAAGGGACAGCATCCGCTTCACGAGGAAAGCTAAGTTCCTGTTCACAGCCAGGATGACCTATCTTCTGGACAGGGATTTAAACTAAGACTGCTGGAGGATGGGGATACACATACTCAAACATGTAAGCCCAGTAGATAGGGCCACTGGGAGAGCCACTCTTGCAGGAGCTGAGGGAATAGTTCTCCATCAGCAGGAAGGGAAGATGAGGGCCTCAGTAGGAGGACTCAAGTGCCTATATACTAATGCCAGGAGCATGGGGAACAAGCCAGAGGAGCTAGCCTTCCTACTCTCCAGTGTGCATTATGATTTAGTAGGGATCACAGAGTCCTGGTGGGACTCCTCACATGACTGGAGTATAGCTATAGAGGGCTACACCCCGCACAGAAGGGACCAGATGGGGAAAAAAGGTGGAGGTGTTGCTCTCTATGTGAAAGAGCAGTATACCTCCTTGGAGGCCGACATCAGCTCCAAAAATGAACAGCTTCAAACCCTGTGGGTCAAGTTGGGGGAGGGGGGTGTGGTCAGAGAGACCTAACTGTAGGTGTATACTACAGACCACCAAATCAGGGGGAGGAACTCGATCTGGAGTTCACCCAAGAATTGACTGAGGCCACACATGCACATGACATGGTCGTCATGGGCAATTTTAATTATCCAGACATCTCCTGGGAAGTAGAAGGCAGAGCATCAGATCAGGCAGGGAACAAAAAGTGTAGCAGATAAGGTAAGAAAAATAGATCCAGGTGGCATTCATGGAAGACGCAAGGCTAATTTGTGGTATGTTTGCCCAGGAAGTTGGCTCCCACCATCCTAAAGTACGTGCAGAAATTTCTACAGGAGCTTGAGATATAAATGGTTTCTGACGTAATGACTACCATGGATCCGGCTTTTCCATTTGCCACGGAAAAATGCAGTAAAACCCAGATTTTTTTTTTCCATTTTCAGGAGAAAAGCCTGGATTTTCTCCTTTAAAAGGAGAGAAATGTGGGAAACAGTGCGTTTCCCCTTGCAGGCTGGCAGGAGCGGGAGAAGGGCAGTCAGGCAGGGGGTGCTACGCACATATATGAATGTATACATGCACATGGCCACCAGGCAGCCTGGAGAGCAGCTCCCTGCAGGTAAGTCTGGGGGCAGAGCTGCCTAGCCTGGGCAGTGCACAGGACTTGGGGCCCAAGGCTGGAATGTGTATCCACAGGGCCAAGGTGGGGAGCAGGACAGAGATGCAGGCAGCTTGTCCAGGGTGTGGGGGAGCTGGCTCCCTGCCACTGTGCGTGTTCCTAGAGAGAACCTAGGGGATATATGCCCCCCAGATTTGTGCACAGGGCAGGGTTAGGTGTGGACTGCCTACTGCAGGCTTGGGGTCCCTGCCCTCTCCCCAGCACCAGGACTGACCCAGTGGGTGGGACCTGGCACTGCAGAGCAGAGTGGGGCTGGGTGGGGAAGCTCAATGCTGCTGCTGCGAGACAAGTGCTACCATGGCAAAGTGCCTCCTGCCCACAGTGGGATGCACAAGTCTGCACTACCACCTCTGTAGCTGCCGAGTGGACAGGGAGTGCCTCGCAACGGTGGTGCTTGGCACCAAACTTCCCTGCCCAGCCCCACTCTGCCCTGCTGTGCTGGGTCTCACCTGCTGGGCTGCGGGGGCCCCTGTGGGGAGGACAGCAGGGCGGGGAGCCCAAGCCTGCAATGCCAAGCCAGCATATGGGCTCTGCCACCCATGGGGGAAATCAGGCTCTGTGCTCCTGTGAACAGCAGCCGAGGTTCAGGCACTGCTGGGAGGTAGGAGCAGGGGGCAAAGGGAGGCAGCAGGCTGCAGATCTGAGTCCTGGCCCTGTAGCCCTTGCAGCTGGGGGCTCCATCCGGAAGGGCTGAGCAAGTGTGTGTGTGTGTGGGGGGGGCAGGGAGGGGGCTCTGGGTGGACAGTGACAGATTTTGGGGGTTCTAACCAGAGAATTTTCAGGTTTTAAATCAGACAATTTGTAATTTTTAAACAACGAAAACCAGGATCCCTGATGACCACACAGTTTAGTGCTAATTACATGAGCAACAGACACACAAGTTTCCGTATAGTTATAAAGTAGTTCAAAGGGTTTAATATGTTAAGGAGAAAAAAAAAAAGAGGTATTATTTTACAAATAAGACTAGTCTAGAAGGTGGCAAGCACTAACCACTGTATTTATTTGTAAGGTTTAACATCTAGTCTATGTGGAAGGAAGTCACTGCCCATATCAGATCACATCACATTGCATCATGTCACAAGGCTTTTTCCAAGCTTAGCAATGCTATCCCATCAATCAGGGTTAGGTAATATAGAGACTGTTTCTGACAAATCATTTGTCAAATTATTATGAAAATAAAAATTAACCTCCTTTATTCTCTCTAGGTTTTCCCTCCCCTTCCTCCTTCCTTGACATTTCCTTTCTTTATAGTAGTTTCTTCATCTTTGAGCAGCATTTAGAGGCTGCTTATAGGCATGAAAAAAAAAAGAAAAAGACAGTATTTTACTTTGAGCTCAGATTTAGATGGCTTCAGATAGCTTTAGATAGGCTCAGCTTTAGATAAATGTGCCAAAAATACTCTGCTGAAGTATGTGATCTATACAGAGACTGGGGAGCCGAGTTGAACTAGTGCACTCCTCTTCTAGTAAAGCACTGGGGTTTTTTTCTGTCAGCAGCCAGAGTTTATTTGAAAAACTAGAGTTATTTTGCCATGAAGTCACCTCTTCCTCCTTTGCAGAGAAATCTTGGATAGGCAGAGGATCCACTCTCTCCAGGACTATAACTTGCATGTGGAATAAATTAGAATTTCCACTCTATTTCCCTGAAGTCAAATTTTGTGAATTTGGGAGGTGCTGTACTTCAGT